GTGCGTGAGTGGGAAGAGATGGGTTGTGTCCTGGTGGCTGGGGTATGAAAGGCCATTGGAAGGTGGAAGCATGGGAGCTCTTCCAAGAGGGGGAGGAAGTCTGTTTTGGGTGAGCTAACGGTGATCAGGTGAAGCTCTGGCCACCCTCAAGGCCATGGCTGTTGTGTTGGTAATAAGGGTTCACTCTGCCTAAAAACCTAATCACTGCTAACCGCAAGCTCCGAACTTCCACTGCTCTCTTTGTAAAGCTCCAGCGGCTGCGTGTGAGCTCAGCAGCAGGCACAGTGCCCTCCGTGAGGGCTTCGCGTGTCTCCCCGGTGTTCTACACGTGCAGACTCTCAAGCTGCCCACAGACCGGTGTGTCAGGTGAAACGTGATGCTCCGTGACACAGGCCAGCAGCTCTGCAGACCTTTAGGAGGCAGCAGGACTTTCAATGGGGTTTTTCCTTTGTGAAATGCTGGGAATTCTCTGCTCATTCTTCCCGAGATTTCCAGCTGAGCACTTCCCCAGCTTCCATGGAAGTCTGTTTCTCTGCCCTCTGGGGTGTGTTAGCCCTCGTGCTCCTTAGCAAAACATCAGGCTTTTCAGGCCATGTGGGAAGTGTATCCAGTGAAAGGAGGAAAATGGTAGGCTAGCTTTTGCTTCCGCATTACCTTGACAGTCTGCTCCTACAGCAGAGCAGCATCTCAGTGGAGAGTAATGTTTGGTGTTGCTTCCCTAGACCCTGGAGGATATTACTGTATTCGGTTTAAGGAGGTAGAAAGTGAGAGCTTTGAATTAGCATCATAGACTCGTAGAATAGTTTGGGTTGGAAAGGACCTTAAGATCATCCAGTTCCAACCCCCCTGCCATGGGCAGGGATGCATCACGCTGGGTCATGTCACCCAAGACTGTCCAACCTGGCACTGAAGGATGGAGCATTTACAACTTCTTCTGCAACCTGTGCCAGTGCCTCAGCACCCTCACGGGGGAAAACTTCCTTATATCTAACCTGAACTTCCCCTGTTTCAGTTTACACCCATCACCCCTTGTCCTATCACTACAGTCCCTGATGAAGAGCCCCTCTCCAGCATCCTTGTAACCCATCCTTCTAGGGGCTGTTGGATCTGACAGTAAAAGCTAGGGTATTCTAAACTATATGGGATATCTATCCATGCTACCTGGGGCACCCTTTCATCCAACACCAGCTTGATGACAAAGGGCATGCAGAAACCAAGTATGCAACAGCTGAAACAATAACTCTCTGCACTGAAACGTTGAGATTGTGTCTTGGCCGAGATGTACCCTGAAATAACGTCTGACAGAGCACGGCCATATCCTGTGGGACTCCTCTGCATCACGTGGCTGCCTTGTCAGGCCTCATCCAGACCCTTTCCTGCCACAGGAGTGTGGGCTAGCGTTGCTGGTGCACCTCCAAAGACCCACCTTACCACAGCAATAAATAGAGGCTGCCAGCACACAGAGTAACACTGACTAATGAGGAGAGGCCAGGCTGTGGGAAAGTTCCCACTGGTACCTACCCTCGATTTGGGTAACTGCTCCTGAAACAACCTCTTTACGCTCAGGGCAGTTGAAACAGGGTGCTGCAGTGTTCTGTAGCGGTTGTGGGTCACCAGAAGGGGTTGAACCACCACTTGAACTGCTTTTCTCTGAAGAACCCCCAGTGGTTTTTAGTGAGAAGGGGTTATTTTTTGTGAAATTCATCCTGCATTTCAGCAGTTTTGACAAAGTGCTCCTCCAGCTCATCAGATATAGAAAGAGAAGCAGCCAGGTCTTCCCACAGGTGCCCTTCATAATTGGCATTCTTTTACTTACATTTATTTTGTGGCTATCTGATAGCACAGCGTGGAGTTCTTGGGAACGTGTCTAAGTAGCCTGTATGTGCTACCCAACAGCCCTGGCTGACGTTATGTGGATGGTTGTGTGGTTGCGTGCTCCGATTATGCACTGAGAAGCAGGCATGGGAAGCGTTGCTGAGCATCCCCAGGTTCTCACTTCCCCTCTGTGAGGAGCGTTAAGCCTCCTGGGTGTTTCTGTAGCAAATAACTGCAGGTCAGAGATTTTGCCCCTAGACAAGAGGCTTGGCCTGGAAGATTCTTGGCACTGCAGGTTCAGGGGTCAAATGCTTTGATGCCAGGAGTGAAAGGTTTCATTGCAAAGCACAAGTCCTAGAATTAAGCAGATTGTTTCATGCAGAAACTGCCTAAGCCTGCAGTGGTCTCGCAGGTGACTCGTACCTTGTTCCTCGAAAGCCAGATCAAGAGCTCTTTAGGAGCTGTAGTTACAGGTATGGACTGAGATCCCACTGATCAGCTTTTAAGTGAATTAGGATGCGATATAGAATCATAGAATAGTTCGGGTTGGAAAGGACCTTAAGATCATCCAGTTCCAACCCCCTGCCATGGGCAGGGACAACTCACACTAAACCATGGCACCCAAGGCTTCATCCAACCTGGCCTTGAACACTGCCAGGGATGGAGCATTCACAACCTCCCTGGGCAACCCATTCCAGTGCCTCATCACCCTCACAGGAAAGAGCTGCTTCCTTATATCCAATCTAAACTTCCCTTAAGTTTTAACCCATCACCCCTTCTCCTGTCACTACAGTCCCTAATGAAGAGTCCCTCCCCAGCATCCCTATAGGCCCCCTTCAGATACTGGAAGGCTGCTCTGAGGTCTCCACACAGCTTCTCTTCTCCAGGCTGAACAGCCCCAACTTTCTCAGCCTGTCTTCATACAGGAGGTGCTCCAGCCCCTGATCATCCTCATGGCCCTTCTCTGGACTTGTTCCAACAGCTCCATGTCATTTTGATATTGAGGACCCCAGAACTGCACACAATGCTCCAGGTGAGGTCTCACAAGAGCAGAGTAGAGGGGCAGGATCACCTCCATGACCTGCTGGTCACGCTCTTTTTGATGCAGCCCAGGATAAGGTTGCTTTCTGGGCTGCAAGTGCACACTGAAGCCAGCTCATGTTCATTTTCTCATCACCCAGCATATGCTACCACTGACAGCTTCCTTGGCAGGGGAGGTTTATTCGCCTGCTTTCAGGGTGAGGAGCTGATTTTGATTTATATTGGTAGCCAGGAGCCCAAAAGTTTTCATTACAAAATAAGCTGCTTCTGCAGCTTGCAGGCTTTCTAACCACGGTCGGGAGGAGGCAGTGGGGTGATGAACAGATTTCAGTTAATTGGCTTAAGAGCTACGAAGGAAACGAGTAACAAATAACTCCTGCCCCACAGTGTTCTGTGCTCTTCGAGATGAGGGTAGGATGTCTGAGCTTGCAGCAGCGTTCTTCACAAAATCATCTCTCTTCAACGTCTGCCAAGACCTAAACTAGTGAATTTAGGCAGCAGCTTAATCAGAAGGCACCAAGGGTTAAGCAGAGCCATTTAGACCAAGTCATTTTCTGCTCTTAAAATTACAGTAAACTGTAGCTTGTTCTTATCTGTGCACAGGCAGTACTTTTAGCCAGCTCATTTTATGTAACCCGAACAGTGGGTTATTAACCTACTCTTAACATCAGCTTTGTAACCCAAGTAACAGTACTCTGCCATAGTATACCTCATCTTATTACTGCTGGAGTAACTGGGATCCGGCCATAACTCCCTGTCTGCAAGACCTCCCATTGAAGTATCACACCAGTCACACAGAGATGACCCGGGAGGAAATGGAGGGTAGTGTTTCCCTCATCTGAAGAGATGTGGGTAGCTCAGAGAGAGGCCATGCATACTTCTCATCATTTTAGCTGATTAGTAAGTGCAGCAGCCATTTAAGCTTATGGTGACAACGTGCATGGTTTTTTGCAGGGAGGCAGGTGGAACTTTCAGGGTTAACAGTGCTTGAATATCTGTGTGAGAAGCAATGGGAATACCCCTCTGTGAATGCACACACAGGATTTCCATGTTTGCATCCATGCTGTGCTCTCAGTGTAGGATGTGCAGAGGCCCTGTGAAACATCAGTGATGCCGTTTCCCCCACACACACACTTCTCAAGGGCTACACTGGTCCCATAACTGCATTTCATCAGTCTGGATACTGATCTAGTAGACAGTAAGTAATGAGTGTAAATCCACATAATACCCAGAGTAACAGATGGTTTAATACGTAACTTAACTATACCCATGTACGTGTTTATTTGGAGGCAAGTTTTGTCTCCCATGAAAAATGGAACAAGAATTTGTAGACAGTAAAGTCACTTAAATCACCACCGATAACATTTTTCTGCTTCTCCCGACAATCCTGAATTCACAAAGAAAACCGCGGATTTACAGAGAGATTCCATGAATCTGAAAGAAATGCAGCACTGAAAAGGAGTTTTCCTTTAGTTAAGTAGATGGAAATGTTGGAAACAAAACAGTGACAGGGCTTAATCTCTGCTGGGACAGCTGGTTACAGCTGTCAGGATTTGGTTTATTGGAAAAGATATTTGCAAGTCAGATTAGCAATTTAATTTCAGGGTTTCCAGTGAGAATGGAAGAAATGTCCCTCTCCAGGCTGCATCAGCAGGGCACTTCTCCTCTTGGAGCATCAATGTGAAAGCCACCTCTTCTGAAACTGGTAAGCAGAATTCTGCACAGATTTGGGTTCATTTTTATGTTGTAATCTCACTACCTACCTACAGGTGTTCAATTCGATTTGCATGATACCAAAGCGTCTATTTCTTTTAAAGTAAGGCATGAGGAAAAGATGCCTGATCGAGTCCAATTGCAGAATGGAGAGGTGTGACCATTCACTGACTGATAGCCTGTATCTTCTGAGTGCTTGAGAGCCTACACAACGCGATGCCTGGTTCATATTCAGTGTTTGTTAGCTTTTATTATGAAGACACATCATTGGTAGCAAGACAGTTCTACAGAGTTGAGTCAGTTCAGACAAGCTCAGAATCATGTCCTTCCTTTGGCTTTTTTCCATTGTGTTCTTTAACTGCCTTTGTAGCATCATGTACCTGTTAAAGGCTCACGGCCGCAGGTTTTGCAGGTGGGATCATCTCGTGTGGCTGAACCAAAGCAGTGTTGCATCCACTTTCTGATCACTGTCTTTCTCCATGCTTCCCTCTCGTCGCTGCAAGGACTAGTCAGAGCTGGGGGAGGCAGCAGAGTCCGCATCTTCCGTGTCATGTTCGTGTGGGGACACTTGTTGCCCACCTTTAACACGTTTCCACTTCATCCTTCTGTTTTGAAACCATACTTTGACCTGAGTGATAAAAAGGAAATGATTACTTATTGCCTCAATCTCAGCTGTATAAGCAGACCTATGCACACATGTATGTATTCATAGAGAGATCTTTTGTGGGATTCTGGAAGAAAAGGTGCAAGGAACCTCACAAGTTGAGGTAATCCATCTAACAAAGGCAGGAGCAATCCTTCCAGGCAGATGTTTCCCTGAGACCCACAGAGGTAGTATAAGTGCTTTGCCTAGAATCTGTCCTTATGTCAACTAGACGTGTCCATCCAATGGGCACAGTGCATCTCATGTCTTTTAACATCTAGCCTGTCCAATCTAATGCTTCAGGGACTGTGATGTGGATAGTATTGAGCAACTCCTAAATTGTTCCCTAAGCTTGGATGAGGAAACCCTGAGATCACAATGAGAGAACAGAAATATCTCTCCAGAACTCTGTAATTTTGTCTTCCTTTATCCCCTCAAAATACTTCTGCCCCAGGCAGAGTGCCTGTATCAGACATGTATCATTCTGATAACTTCCTTGTAACTGCAGTCTAAGGTGATATCCATACTCCATCTGTAAGCCTCGATATGTACCAAGGAGTGTTGGGAAACAACAGCTTGGTAGATATCGGTTATTCCCAAATGCGTCTTTAGTTAGATAAAGCAGAATTACATTTGTTATTATGGAAAATTGTGACAAATGTGTTTTAAAAGAATGTGGAAGCTTTGTATTAGAATTGCTCTGTGCCATTGCAAGAGTCCACTGTTGAGTAACAGATCTGCTTTAGCTTTAGGGAGAAACTGTGTGTGGGGGGGGGGGGAATGAAGAAGCTGGGGAGGCAGGGGTTCATCCATTACTTGTCTTTCGGTGAGATCCAGGTTCACAGCAATCTCGTATCTCCTGAGCCTTGTCAAGTAGTTATGGTGGGCAAATTCAGCTTCCAGCTCCCGGAGCTGCTCCTTTGTGAAAGCTGTCCTTTCCTTCCGGGATTTGCTGCTTGGTTCTGCCTTGCTGCTTGAATTCTGGGTGTCTAAGAGGCAAGCACATACACTGTGTCATTTAAAGCTGCACTGATCTGTGTGGACTTGTGTACTGCTGAGCTCTGAGCTAGTCAACTACTGATGCTAGTCAACTCTGAGCTAGTCAACTACTAATGGAGATGCTCAGTGGAGGTTCTAAGAAGCTTGTATGTGCCCTCCCAAGCTCCGCATGACTTATCGCTGTTGTCAGCCTTGGGACAGCACAGAATGAGGTGCTCTCAGAGCTTGCCTGGGTCTGTGAGCTCAGAAATGAGCAGCTATGGGAAAGAAGCTCTCATTCCTTGCTATCATTGCACCAAAATAGTTTCCTTCCCCATGTTTTAACTCTCATTCCTTACATCCATATTATCACTCTCCCTTGATCTCCCATGCCACAGACAGCAAAGCCAGCACTTTTTGTATTGTTTCCGTACTGTTTCATTCCCATAAAAGAAAGCTGCCAGAATTCTATGATGTGTTACAGTACTCTATTTGGAGAGCTGAGGACTTCAGGTACATGGTAACACAAGTATGAATGAGGACAAGTCCAACAAACTTGGCTGAAGTTCTGTTTGGAAACGTTAATGCCTGGGGATGGACAGCAGAGGCAGCTGTAAGGGCCAGCACAAGGTTAGCTTCTACCTTCAGGTCACTTGGTGAGCCTGTGAAGTCAAGACTGACTATGGCATCTAAACAGTAGAGGAGGGGAAGGTTGTGTGTGTGTTTACCCACAAGTACTTGTAGCAGATGCAACTGTTGTTATTGCCATGAGAAAGCCGTTCTTTGCATGGTTTTACTGTACCCGTGCTTCAAAGGAAGTTTTAAAGATTGACAAGCTTTTTCCTTGCTTTTATAACATCCTGCTTATTTGTCAGAGAAATGGGTTCGGTTTAGACTGTTCTCAGAACACTGCAGAGCCACGTTCCAAAGCCCTCACTGGGTTTTGCATGCGCTGGTACAGATCATGGTAATGCTGTGTCTATATTGTGGCTCAGGGAAACTTGTAGTGGATCAGGCACCAGCTAAAAGGGAATAGTTTATATTGTAGGGTTTGTCATGAAGTGATTTCGAGGCATTTTTCTTTACTAGCCTAGTCTCCGAGGAGAAGGTCCTGGGTATCTAGGAAGATTATCAGGAGGAGAGAAAAGACTTATCTTCTACTTAGAACAACCAGTCAGTACGTGCTATGTCCAGCTGCAGTTCTGGAACAGCTGTAAAAGTGAAAGAAACCACAATGAAATTGCTCAGACTTTCCCCTTCTATTCCGGCTGGGGACAGAAGGAAGGAAAAGCTTGCAGGAGGGATATCAAATAATTCTGTCTGCTGCTCAGTAAGCAAGGAAAGGAGTGAAATGAAAAGCCACGGAATCCCCTTTGGGATGTTTTCATTGTTCTGCGTTCGCTCAAGTAATAACGTGTACAGACAGCACCACTTGCTAGGAGGCAGGAAACACTGGATCTGTCAGTGATGTCATTGCTTACAGCTCCCCTATAATGAAAAGTATATGGGACAGCAGCAAGTATGACAAGAAACTCTGGGGGTGCTGGTAATAGAGAATAGAAGCAACATTTGTCTTCTACTTAAAACAGGGAGACGTGCTTTGAAATCAGTCTCTTTAAGAATAAGGCTATCCCTCTAATCTGAGCACACTGAAATCACCGTTTCCCTATGACTTGCAAATGCTTTAACAAAAGCATCACTCGCTTTGATTATTTATTTTCTAAACTTCTTTACGTTTACGTTGTGGAAAAAATGAACTTCAATTTGGCAAAGCTGGGTTTCTAAAGAGAACACCTGGAGAAATGAAAGGGGGGGGAAAGGTTGCTGGTCTGTAGCCAACCCATAAAACCTATAAAGAAATAAATAGATAAATACTTTTATCACCATGCTCTCTACCTGTAAAATGGGGATACTGGAAAATGTTCCCCACTTCATAGCAGTGCTGTGGGAAAAAGGATGCTGTAGCTTGTAAATGAATATTGTAGCAAATGGATGTATATAAGCCTATTAATTTTTAACAGCTTCCTTAGGAGAAAGCAATTTTGTGCATATTTCACATATCTTCATTTGAGAGAGCAGCAAATCAGGGGTTTCTTTAACTATGAAATGATTGCTTGTGACTCTGTAGAGTGCCTTTTGCTAGTTAGGATGACACAATGAAAATGGTCTACGTTTTCTGTCTCGCTGGGCATCGTCCTGATGGGGAAACCTTTTGTAGGTCTTTTGAGTTGAAAAGCATTGGGTATTTAGACCAAACCAGAATTTCTCTCTGAAGGGAGCCTTCACATCTTGTATTTCTTACTATCAAGTGAGATGTCAAAACCCTACTATAACATTTCCAGCCAGCACAGGCAGCTCAAGGTGAGAGATCTTTGCTCTTTGACTGCTGCTTCCTTACGCTTGGACAAATGGCAGGTATGCAATATATAGCTCCCCATCCTAGGACTTCCAGCTCAGTGTACACATGCCATGCGGTTCCTGTTTAGTTACAGCAAATGTGCCTTGTGCTGGGGGGGGTGAAATGCCTGGTTCACTACACAAGATCTGCAGGAGTGGAATACAAACACCAGAGGTCATCACAGAATAAGCCATTTAGTCTCAATGTTATTGTGTCAGCTTCCCCAGTCAAGACTTACCAAGGGTTTTCCTCATCAGCTTTATTTCTTAATGCCTGATCCTACAGATGCTCTCCTCTCCAGCTTGTGCTATCCCACAACCCTGATTTCGCATCACCTACCTGAGTTCTCCTTTTTCCTTTTCGATGCCTTGTTCTCAGTCTCATTTGTAGTATTTACTGGTACCTCATCATCTTCACTCATCCCCACCGCTGCACTCACTACATTTGGGCTGCTGCCTTCCGACTCCCCAGAAGCCAGTCCTGGCTTCAGTCGTCTTCTGGCTTCGGTTGCTGCAAAATGCCAGTCAGAGTGTTGGAAAGAGGGATGCTGCTCCACGAACGTCCGCTCCTCGTGCGGGAAGCTGTGGGGAGCAGTGACCAGGCAGGAGGTTGCGAAATCGGGGTAAGCAGCGAAATCTGACTTTTGATGGAAGGAGAAGGACGCTGGGGGGTAGTGGTTCAGCCCTGACGCCGGGGTCACATCCATGTGGGTGCTCCGCAGGCACCCCCAGAGCGGGGCAGGAGGCTGGGGAGCGCGCATGCAGCTGCTGCTGGTGGGATCCATGTGCTTCCAGTCCTGTTCCCACACCGGTGCTGGTGACCGCTTATAGCTCAGGCTTCAAAATCAGCAAAGGAGCAAAAGGGAAATCTTCCAAACCTTACAGAACAGATCTCATCCCTAAACAACAGGTTCGCTGGGGGCTTTAGGCTGCTGCAGAATGGGAACTCTTGAATGCCTTCATTGTCCTGACTGGAGAACAGTAACCAGGTGTGGGCAGTGATTGCTCTGAACCGCTTCCCGAGGCCTGGAGCTTCCTTCCTTGTGAGGCGCTGGACATGAGGGAAACACTTTTAAATACGGTGCTGGGGAGAGAGCGACAAGTTTGTGAAGTGAAATGTGAGAGAGGGGAGGGAGGGGTTAATGTACATGCACCCAGGTCCTCCAACCAAAGCCAAGCAGCAACTATTAATCATCCGAAACCTTATATGCACATCTAATGGGATTTGCAGATGGAGCCTTTTAAAGAAACAATGTCTGTGCTTTTTTTTCTTTTTTTTTAAAGAAAAGAGCAGCACACAAAAAAAAAAGGCTTTAAAGTTCCCCTCTGACACTGGGAAGTCATTTTTATTGCACTGTTAACAAAATCCCCCAAGTCTTGGCTTTGGAAAAAGCCCTAACACAGGATTCAACAGACACCAACTAAAGTGGGAAATGGAAGTCAGAAAGGACTTCATTGATTACAGACAATTTGAGGCCCAATCTTAAGCTGAAAATAGCATTAAAGCTGGCTTGTGCACACACACGAGGTCTTGAGTCAATTTGTTTTGTTAGCTTTGTAACACATGTATTTGCTGGGAGCCGGAGTTTGCTGCCAGTGGCAGTTATTCTTCCTGTATTCTGCTTTCCAGGGGGGTTTCAATATGCCACCCCTTCCTGCAAGGAAATCTGCTTTTATGCCAATGGAAGATATGTTTTTCATCATTTGTTGAAAGTTTTATGGGTTTTCCTAACAGAAAGCAGATTCCTCGACCCCAGAGCTATCCCAAAAACACATCAACAGGGAACGTGTTCTCAATCCCTTTCTCACAGCAACGAGGCAGCTGGCAGTGACCGAACCCTGCTAGGCCAGGGCTGCTGCAGGGCTGTTCTCCATGGTTTTAGTGACAACTCACGTGTGCAGGTCTTCCATTTCTCCATGATCTGCTTGCAGCCATTCCCAGTACTGTCTCCACTGGGCCCTGCTGTACGCTGTGTGCTCATCTTTCCCCTCTCCCACCATTTGTGCTGGGCTTTGTGGTCTCTCACAGGCACAGGTGTGCAGCAGATGGACCCAGAGCCTTCATTTGTCCCAGGGCCTTCAGTGACACCTCTCTACTTGGCTTCTGTGTAATTCCGAATTTCAAGGAACTGGTGGGGTTAGGGGGGATTTGTGCTTACCCTGATGTGGCTGTTGGTTCGTTGAGCTCAGCCTAAGAAATCAGGTGCGTTTAGTCCAGATCTTTCTGTTCTATCGCGTGAACCTTGACTTTACTGCAAAACCCTAAACCTCTGACACCTCATTAATCCTCTAGGGAAAAAGTCTCCTAAACACTTCAATCTGCTGCTGCGTTGTATTAGAGGATAGACACCCAAACCTATTTCCTACTCACTGGCAGGGGGAAAGCTCCCAGGCAGGCAGCTCTTCTTCTGGAAGAGCAGTTTATAATGAATTCAGGAATACTTCAAATGTGCCAGAATTGAAGTCAGAGTCCAGAACTTTCTGTCAATGCAAAGCATCTCATTCACAGCCTGCGTGTGGGTGTTGTCATGTGTGTAACACTCGTTTCAGTCACACAGGTTATTGGGGGTTTGTAGGAACCCAAGCCTAGCGCTGTCCTACATTCAGACTACAAAATAACCTAGGTAGTTATGCAAACCTTAATGTCCTTGCACATATACCTGGTGGGGGGGGGTAGAAGGGAAGGGAGGGTTGACCCTTAGGCTAGTGGTCGCTTCAGGCTCCCATCTGGGAATCTCCATGAGTTCTGAGCCAGAGGTCTGGCTGTAGGGCATGACTCGATTCTTGCCCATCACTTTGCTTTCCAAACTGCTTGGGCCCTGTTTTCCCAATGGAGCTCTCTCTGTTATTCCTCTGACTTCAGACGTGGGAAAAGGAGATGCCATTCCCCTCCCAAATGTGAGAACCCTCGGGTCTTGCATCACTCCAGCACCCTCCACAGCTGGTGCTGTCGCTCAGCGCTCAGCAGGGGCCTGTTTGACCTCTGCATCCTCCTGACACTTCATTCCTGAAAGAAGAAAGAACAACAACCCTTCCCTCTTGCTAAATCCCATTTGTTGGTTGAGGCAGCCACCTTTAACCTTTGTAAAGTCAACATCTCTTCAGTCAAGCCCTGTGCTGGGTAGGAAAGAATGGCATGGGTGGAGATCGGTTGTGGTGATGAATGCTCCCAGAGCAAGCTGAAGGCTGGAAAGCGGAGTTTTATCTCTGAGCTTTCCTATCAGCTCATTCCTTGGAAAGCATTTCTCAGCCATCTGAGGTCTGGCCCACCCTGAGACCTTGCAGTGTAATTTGCAGGACCTCATGAGGGCGAAAGGACGAAACTTGTGCCATGGCTTCCTCCCCCTTTTTCTGGCAAGGCAATGTTATTTCACAATAAAGACAGACCTGACCAACCTCAGCCCACTCGAACGGGGTCCTCTTCTCAATCACCTTCCTGCTCGTGCTGTTTCTTGGAACATGGGGGCTCTGTGGGGCAGGAGCCCTGGTCTCACTCTGCTGCACCTGCCCCTCTACAATTGTCTGGTGCGTTTGCACCTCAAATGCAAAATGATTTCTTAGACGCCAGATCTTACCCTGTTCGCAAGGCAAAGGAAGCCTTCGCTTCCCCACGCTGGCTGGATGCTTGCCTTGCTTAAGCAAAGCGTGCACACATCATGGAGAGGCTCCAGGCACCACGGTCTCCTTGAAGCTGTATGAGCTACTAAAGTGCAAAGGAACAACAGCCTTCGTTATAAAGGAACCGTCTGTTTTTAACAAATCCAAAGCAGTGCCACCCTCTGACCTGCCATGTGTGCAACTGAAGCAACTGGGGGAGTTTTCCTCCATGCGGGTACCGGGCCAAGCCTGGGGAATTCCTCGTACATGGCAGAACCTTCGTTGTTGACCGTACTGTCATGTTAGCACTGATGAAGGGAAGCTGGAGAGCAGCAAACAGCCACTACTAAATCCAGGCAGCTGCTGCTTAGTTGCAGAAGGTAGAAGTTAGTTAGAGGTTAGAGTCAGTTTATTGGGTTACTTGCTCTCCCTATAGGTAGGACTGTTTTATTTTTCTCTATTAGACATTTCCATAGAATCAGGGAATGATTTGGGTTGAAGCCCATCGAGTTCCAACCCCTGCCACAGCAGGGACACCTTCCACTGGAGCAGCTTGCTCCAAGCCCCTGTGTCCAACGTGGCCTTGAACACTGCCAGGGATGGGGCACCTTGTGCCAGTGTCCTTTTCTAGGGTACTGCCCAGCCCTGAGTACTTGCTGCAGTTTCAGTCTTCCACTTTCCCTTTGGGAAGCCAGTTCTTTGCTCTTTCCTCGTGTATAGACTCAGCTCTCGCTTTTACTGCCTTCATCTCATTATTCGAGCTGACACATTGGCACTGTGCAGGTGCAGAGTGATTATTCCAGCATGTTTTAAAAGTCTGTGTTATCTGTGCTAAGCCGTCTTAAACACAAGCCAGATGTATTTCAGACCCTTAATATTTCCTCTAAGTCAATCACTGCAGCCTCTTAACCATGTTTCTGGTGCTATGAATTCTCTCTCAGCTGCAGTGTTAGGAATTAATATTCACTGGCACCAAGCTGGGATTGTTGGTGGTTTTAGGGAAGAAGGGAGAATAATTCCTGAAGGGACCTGCAGATCATGAAACCCAGTTTCCAACAGATTCTGTGTGAGATGTGTTCCCCTATACCAAATGTTGTGTATCTGTTGAACAGCAGCATGGCCTTAAAGAATGAATGTGATGTGAGGCTAAAAGCCATTGCAACAAGACATTCAGAGACAGAGATGAGAAAACATTAATACTGCTGCCTGAAGCTGCTGTATCAGCAAAGCCCCTCTGGTAAGTGCACTGATAGCAGTATGAGATTACACTCATTGGCACAGCAGATGCTCCTGGAGACAGTTCAATATTCCATTAGGAAGTCATCTTCTGTCACACAAGTGATTGCAATGTGAGGAAATGTGTTGTTGCCTGTTCACTGAGCTACTCCTCCTGCACTGTTCTCATATGTAGGACTGCTCATATGGCAATGTCATATTTGTCCTGCTTTCATGATGCTGTGTAGCTAAAACAATGTGTTGGCACTGGCAGGAAAGAGGAAGGATGGGGAGTCTAAATAAAAGACTGGAGCTGGCCCTGGGTTTGCCTCATCTGCTGGGCAGCTTTTGCATGTTAAAGAATGGATCATAATACTCAGCATCTCTGAAGTTCATTTTCAGGGGCGTTTTGCAAACTTGCGTCATGAATAAGCTCTCTCTGAACCTTAGCAGGAAGATTCCCTATAAGACTGGAGGTGTTGGTATAACCTTTATTAGCTTGACAGAAGCTGTGCAGTCAAACCACTGAGCAGAACTATGAAAAGCTGTCTTCCTTCCACAGTCTCATCTGGTATTTTAGTGAGACCCAGGGTGTGACCAGCTCTGCCGATGGGGACCTGGCATCCCCACCACTAGGACTTGTAATGCAATGCTAACCTTTCTCTTAGCACTAAGTCAACATTTCCGGTATTCATTAAATTTGATGGGTTTGCAGGAGTGAAAAGAACCCGCTTCAGGTACAGGAAACATCAAGATGTGCGCAGAGACACATGGTAATTTATCTTAGGACAGAAAGCAGTAGAAGAGGAAGCAGACGAAAGGGGCAGCTAGCTTTAAGGTTGCAGGAATAGTAAAAGGAAGAAACATTAGCTGGCAACTGCTCAATCCCATCCCACAGTGCACGCAGAGTCTGTCATTTTTAACACTTCTTGTTTGAAAGGTCATTTAGTTTTGTTGGGGTTTTTTTTGTGTGAGTTTTTTCTTTGTGTCCTATTTTGGTTTTTAACCTGGTTTCATCACTGTGTTCACTACAACGAGGGGTTTGGGCTTTAAGTGAAAGCTGTGATAGGAGTTAATAGTGTATGATGGCGATCTTGGGTTAAGCGGATTGAGTGGTTTTGCTTGCAGAA